ATTTAAGGTATACATATAATATAATACTGCTATACATTAATTTAAATTGTATATAGTGTATGTACCTACCTAGATGATTAATAATATGAACATTCAAATATTCAATTCATTCAACAATTAATTTAATATGATATTTTTCAAAATAAATTACAATTAGGTCCTACTGTAAAAAAACTTTTATTTTTATTTACTAAAATACTTTTAAATGTAACTTGATTTTTAAATTAAAAATTTTTAACTTCAAATATAATATCATTTAGATGTTCATTGTGATTAATTTTATTTTTTGATACAATGGTAGGTACCTACCTAATAATATTTTATTGATTAGTTAAAATGATTAACGAATACCTACTCAGTACTCTGATAAACAAATCTTTTTTTTTTGTATCCTTGGTTGTCGGGTGAATCAAATTCAAGTTTTAATTGACAACCACAATAACTTTACTGTGGTTATACCTGCAAATAATTTGTTATATTATAAGTATAGGCATTGTATGGGCATATATTTAATAACATAAGTATTCATGGATTTAGGTTCTACTTAACTAACATTTTGTGAATTTAATCATAATAATATTTTAGGATTCTTGTAAAATAATTAAATACTGTTATATTTATATATTATATATATTTATGTTATCAATTATTTTACTATCAATTTGGTAAAATTATATTATGAATATAAAAATAGAATATAACATCCATCACGGCAGCACCTTATAATGACTTATCTAATTATTGGTTTAATGGTTTATACGTAGCTAACTTAAAAACTTTAAAATGTTCCAAGTTAATGAAGTTGAGCCTAATGTGTTTCGAGCTAATTTGCTTAATGAGAATGATATTAATTCATATATACAATTGCACAGTATCCAAACAAAAACAAGTTGGTACATTTTTAGTTCAAAACAGTCCACTAGATATGTTTGTCGGTTGGTAACAAATTTAATTTTATACCTATTCATAAAAAATGTTATGTATTTATTTAATATTAAGATATAATAATTCTAAAGGTATTTTAATGAATAATATAATTATTACGTATTTATTTCTATGTAGAAAAGTATTTGTATGTCATCATAGTGCATTCCAAAAAAAAAATATTAAAGAAAATGTAAAAGGAAAGTCAAAAAATACTAATTGTCTGGCAAAAATTGATATCACAATAAAACTCACAACTAAAGATACTTGTAAAAAAGATCCATATGTAAAGGTATCTATTTTATAAGTTATTTAATAACAAATTTATATTAAATGTTGTATTTATTGATTGCCCAGATAGCATTTTCGTAATGATAATATCTAATTATTATCATATCTTCATTATAAAAATAATATTATCAAATAAATATCAATACAATTTCAAATAATTATTTTGTAACATAATATTATAAAAAATTGAATAATATGACATCATAAACGAAATGATAAATTGATAATCTGAATTAATTGTCATTATATTATTAAAAACGAATTATCTAAAATATATTTTGGATATTATAATATTATGATATTATAACAGAAATAATAATATTTTAGTCTGAAAATGTGTTTAATATATTATCAAAACCGAAATACCTAAATTATATTTTGAAATTATTAATATTATGATATCATAATTGAAATAATAAACTACAATTCTTAAAATATGATTATTTTGCTATAAAAAATAAAATGTCTAAATAATATTCTGAATTTATTAATATTATGGTATAATAATTGAAATAATAAAATATTATTCTGAACATATAATTTTTATGTTATTATAAAACAAAAATAATTATAATATAAAATATGATTTTTAATTGTATCTGAATTATATCCCAGATAGCAATAATAAGATGATATTTTATTTAGATGCGTATTTATGGGTATTACTCCATAACTTCTAATAGCCCTTCTCTACCCAGGATAAATACTATTATACTAACATAATATCCAGAATATATTGATCCAGCTATATCTATAATATTATATTATCTGCTATAGTTTTTCGTTTTTCCATTAAATATAATATAATTTTATTATAATACAATTATACTTCAATACTTGTGAAAACTCCGTCATAATCTGTCCATCTGTTTCGAAAAGGCTAAAGCCCCTTAGCCCCCCCCCCCTTGGATCCGCGCCTGATCACAGCCTTTTTTTTCTTTTTTTTTCTGTTTTAACCGACGACGCCGCAGGATCTGCTTTCGCATTGCTTCCGCGGCGCCGCCATCGTTTATTGACGGTATCAACCCTGATCACAGCCTATAATAAAATATATATACCTATACTGTAATTTAAGAACATAATATTTTCATTTGTGATAAGCCGGATTTCCACGACTGGTGTACTTGCCAAATATTCGTTTTTATTTATTATCTATGATCCTATCCCTTTAGTCATTACCTAAATTATATACATATTAGTGGAGGGTAGGTTAATGTTAGTTATTGGAGTATATGTACTTATTATATAATTAATATAATTAATAATATTATATAGGTATACATGTTATAACATATTAACATGTATACCTATATGCAATTGCAATTGCAATGTACCTACTATGTGTTATTATATATTAATATTGTGTTATTATGTATATTATTTATTTATAAGGTAGTACAGTAGGTATATAATATATATGTATACCACTGCACCTGCTATTACTCCAATGATAAATGATAATAATATACCTAAATATATTACAATATAATATTGTTATTTAACCGTTATCACGGTCGCCAGTTCGACACAGGGCTAGGATCCATTCCGCGATGTTTATAATATATCTACAACAGTACAGTAGGTACCTACTGTATGTCTGTATATATAATATACGTATTTCTATATTGCTTAATACCTATAGTAAAACACAGAGCATATATTATATGCCACATTGCCACATAATATAATATATTATAGCATAGTAATTAGTAATATTACGGGTGTTATATCATAATCATGACAATTTATTTTGTCATCGATGTTATAGATATTAATATAATACCTACTTCAAACAAAATATGTTTTTGATTTTGCCTTCTTTCTATTTTGTTTTGCTATTTGTGAATTTACGGCCAACGGGCCAAGTAATCATATTATATTGAGGAACCCTCTCCCACTGGACAACCTCTGTTCAAAATTAGATCATTACTGCGAGTCAGCGCGGCGACCAGTTTTCGTCGGGCAGCGGTCAGACATAATAATATTGTCATATTATATAATATACTATATATTATAGTATTGTTCTGTGATATTAGTAATCAGTAATCACGCTCGTCGCCCATCGGTAATCTATAATAATTATTTATGCCGCGTCGTTCCGTACGATATTTTTGAATTATCTGGGTTTTTCCGACTGGCACATCGTCACAACACGATAACGATGTTGATACACGAAATTACTTGCCGTTTGGGAGAGGAGTGCAGTACTCTCTCCACCAGTTCACCATACAATATACGACTTACTCATCACTTACTCTTCATAATTCCGTAGCGAACATCGATTTTTAACCGCTGTCTGCACTCCGTATTCCGTACTTATTGTTACCTTACCGCTCCGTAGTCCGTGCGATTAAAGCATTTAACCAATTGCCCTTTAAGGCTTTTACAATCACGTATTGACGACACATTTTAGTCTATTCGGTAAGTAAATATAATTATCATAATATTCATAATTAAGCTAGTAATTATAAGTATATATCTGTGGAAAGATGGCAGAAGCTGAAATGTACATTTTACAAACTTAGTGTTTCCGCTACATATATTTTCAAATAATGACATATCATCAGTTGCTACACACAAACAAGAGACATATCATATTTTTCCACCACTTGAAATATACGATTTCTAAACTATTTAAATGATAATTAAAAAATTAACGAAATGTACATAATATCAGCTTCTACCATCATTCCACAGATATTATATTATAATATTATCATTATAAGTTTATAGTTTATATTATAGTATTTAGTTATATAGTACTGATAGAACATACAAATTAAAATATAATTAATATACATATTAATAATTATTATTATTATTAAGTAAAAACAAAACGTTGTGTGGTCCGTGTCTACTCATTTTTACTAATAAATATACATACTTTCTACTATTTATCCTACTCTTCACTTTTGACTAAAATTCCAAATGTCTTGGGTCTGAGTTAATTTTAAGCATATTAGTTCTTTGGATAGGGTCAATAGTACCTATAATAATATTATAATAGTCAAAACTCAAAAGATACTTAAGTAGTTAAGTGTATACTATATAGATACATCATACATGAACACTGACAAAGTACAGGCATAGATTAGTACAGGATGTTTAATCTATGGTATGGGTAACAAATATTATAATTTAGTCTGTGTATGCATGAGCGGCCGGTGTGTGTGTATGTACATTATAGTATTGAAAGAACACATTTTTTTTATGAAAATAGTATATACTATAAAAATCATTGCATAATATTAACATACAATATCATTTTCAAGTATAGGTTACCTACAGTGACGACTGACAGCAGTATAAGGGGTTCTTTATGTTAAAAAAAACCTACCTAATTGTTGTAATTAATATTTTAAATTTGTAAATACCTATAATATTTATCAAACTAATAGTTATACATTAATGTACACGACTGTCGAATAATAATAATGGAAATTTACATCAGGGTTTCTTATATCTTGTATGACATATACCTATTAAATAGATTAATATATTAAATATATTTACCCGTTACTATTATTGGTAGGTACTCATAATACATTTTTTATAACATATTTTACCATAAGCCAACTACCCAACCCTATTGATATTACTTTTAAATTTCATTATTAATAGGTTATCTGCAGTAAATATGTGTATTCTATAAATGTACCTTCCTATCGATATAATATTTTACATATATTATGTTCTTATAACATAAATACATTCATTTTGATAATTTTTTTTTTATACCCAAGTCAATTATAAAAGTATTAAACAATATTTTAATTTCAGAAATAATGGCTTCCTTTTATAAAAATACTAATCTGAGTAAAAGAACAAAACAAAGAAGAGTAGAGGAAGAACTAAAAAGTAGTACTGTTGGATGTAGTTCTAAAGAATATAATACTGAAAATATTGGACCTACTCTAGTTGAATCTAGTTTTTCAAATATTGATCATTCTGCCCCCAGTATCACGTCTCAATCTAAATCCAATGATATTAATCTTAATATAGACGTATTAAATTCAAACGGGGATGAAGAATTGTACTATTCTAGTGATGGAGTATCTTCCAGTGAAACAGATGAAAATGAATGGAATGAAAATTATGATAACCCTATTGATAATCTATCTCATTTTAAATTTTTGATCATGAATTGGGCCATTGACTGTAATATCCCGCAGATAGCTCTAAATAAACTATTAACTTTACTAAAAAAACATAAATGTTTTGAAGATCTACCTAAAGATTCTAGAACCATAATGTCCAAAAATATTGAAAAGTCTTCAGAAATTCAAACAGTTGTACCAGGAAAATATTATCATTTTGGAATTTTAAAAGGAATTGAACAAAATTTTACTGAGTCTGTTCAAGATGATAATAAAATTGAAATAATTGTAGGAATTGATGGGTTACCATTGTATAAAAGTAATCCTGAACAATTGTGGCCCATTTTAGCCTATATTCGTCCTGATAGTACTAATGTATTTCCAATAGGGATTTACTGTGGAAGAGAAAAACCTGCCAGTAGTAATGATTTTATGAAATTGTTTGTTGATGAAGCCAAATTTTTGTATCAGAACGGGATTTGTATTAAAAATAAAACATATAATTTCTCCGTTTACACATTGTGCTGTGATGTTCCTGCTAAATCATTTGTGCTTCAAATCAAAGGCCATTCAGGTTTTTTTTCTTGTACTCGCTGTGAGGTAGAAGGAGAATATTTGAACAACAGAATTTGTTTTCCTTATAATTCACCATTAAACCGTCCACAAAATATAACACATCAAAATTACTTATTACAGTCAAAAGAAGAACATCACGTTGGTGATGTTTCGATTATTACAACTTTGCCTAATTTTAATGTTGTAACTTCTTTCTCTCTAGACTATATGCACTTGGTGTGTTTAGGTGTTGTTCGAAAGCTGATATTATTATGGATTAAAGGACCTATAAATATTCGTTATCCATCTTGGAAAATTAAAGAAATATCAAACTCTCTTGAAAACCTTAAAAATAAAATGCCATGTGAGTTTGCTAGAAAGCCAAGAAGACTTGATGAAATATGTCGTTGGAAGGCCACAGAATTTCGGACTTTTGTGCTTTATATAGGAACGTTTGTCACAAAATCGGTTTTAAAAAAAGAACATTGGAAACATTTTTTTAGCTTAAACTTGGCAATGATGATATTGATTAGTCCTGATTATGGACAATATATAAATCATGCACGATTATTATTAGACAACTTTGTTAAAAATTTTGAGTTAATGTATGGGCGTCACCTGATTTCCCATAATATTCATGGTTTAATCCATTTATGTGATGATTACACTCTGTTTGGTCCATTAGACAACGTTTCAGCATTTCCTTTTGAGAATTATATGGGATCCTTGAAGAAAATGTTAAGAAAACCTGACAAGCCCCTACAACAAATCATTAAAAGATACAAAGAAAAATGTTTGCTGATGTCCAATACTAAATACAAATATATTGAACTTCATTTCACTGGTATTCATAATCGTGGACCTATTATAGAAAATAGTATGAAAGGATTACAATTTTCTTCTCTAAAATTAGAAAATATGACAGTAAAAACCAAAGTGGATGCTGATTCTTACTTAATTACTAAAGATAAAAAATTAATTAAAGTTGTTAATATAATTTCTAATGAAAGAAAAAGTGATGGCATTTTAATATGTAAATACTTTCAAAATAGTTATCCATTATTTCTTAACCCCATAAGTTCGATAGATTTTGATATTTATGCTGTTAATAACTTATCCAGTGAGCTTATTTGGTATCATATTAATGATATAAACAAAAAAATTATACTTATACCTCATAATAATGAGCAGATTTTACTTCCATTGTTACATTCCACTAAAAATTCTATACCAGTTTTAGATAATAATATATAAGCACTATATTATAATGTACAATGATACATTTAATATTACATTAATTGTTTATATTTAAGAATCACAAATATGTAACTATAGGTAGTTTTAATTATTACCTTTGGCTATATAATACTTAATATGTAGTTATGTATTATTAAAATTTAATATTATTTAAGATACCTAATGGTTATAATGTGTAACATTTAGTATAGGTATAATATATCATATAATTTAATTTAATTGATAGTAAAATAAACTAATATTAATGAAAATAAATACATTTATTATTATTTTTATCTAGGGACATTAATTTAAATTAATTTTAAAAAAAAAATCTTAATACATATACTAAACTATTGAGAAGAAAAACTAAATTATTAAATATATATAACTATTTAAATTATAGAAAATGTGGTCTGTTGTTGCATTTGATGATGACGAATCAGTAGAAGCTGTACCAGCATACTGGTTTCAAAATAATAAGTGTGCATGGCCAAAAAAAATTATAAAAAATTTTTAGACCGTAGAATTCAACCTAATGAAGTCGACTTTGATTATTTACCTGCTCGAAAATTAGGAAAAAATATTGGTATGTATTGAAATGTGTTAAGTTGTTTTATTTTGAATAAATATGTAGATAGAGAAATATATAATAGGTACCTATTGGTATTTGTTTTAATTTTTTTAGACACTTATTTGATTGCTAGAGAAAAAGCAAAAAAGGCAGAGAATACCTCTGATATATCAACTCATGAGTCATCTCAGGAAATGCATTCAAATTCTTCCATAAAACAATTTAAAAAAAGCAAAATAAATTATGGCAAAAAAAAACAAGACACTGTAATATGGAGTAGTCCATGTAGCGAACTTCATTGTAAGTTATTTTATAATAATACTAGCTCTCCGAGCGTCGCTGGGGGACACCCCCAGACCCCCGTGAGCGGACCCCGAGTGTTGTCGATTTCGGAAGCAGCGGTGATCTCGTGGTGTGGTCGTGGGTCTCAGCCGACGCGGTGTATGGGTGATGTGGAGGTCTGGTGATAAGGATGTGTGATAAGGATAGGACCACTGCGGTTCGACGTGGTAGCCTGTGGTAGCCAGGGCAGAGTCTTTGACAGAGTCTTTTCGACGACGCCGCCGGAAATTCGAAATTTGATAAAAAAATAATATAGTAATTTTTGTGGGTATCTAGCAGTTCGGTCACCTAGAGTGACGTTCGCCGTAGTAATAGTATTTGGGGTCTAGCGGGTCAGTCGCCTTCCTCGACTTTGGTCGTAGTCACCCTTTAAGGGCCGTTCTTACAATGTCCGGTAAAGTGTCGGTTAACGCTAACCGACTGATAACAGATTTTATTACCGGCGGAATTCTTCCGGTTAAGTGTCGGTTAACTTTAACCGGACGTCGTAAGAACGGCCCTAAGACAATATTCAACGGTCGGGGCACGTCATCACGTATGCAATCCGACTGCGTCGAATCGCGGACGACGTTCATTACTGTTACAGAAAAAGCAAAAAAAGTAATAAATTACTTGAAAAGTATTTAAAAAATTTCGGACGTCCATGCAAATCATATAGCCGCCGTATTTTTTAGGGTGTCTAGCAGGTCAGTCACCTCGAATGACATTCGCTATAATAATAGGAGTAGGCTATCCGACTTGGACGGATAGCGGACAATGTGTGACGGCCGGGTCACGTCATCACGTATGCAATCCGACTGCGTCGAATCGCGGACGACGTTCATTACTGTTACCGAAAACTCAAAATTAAAGAATAAATTACGTGAAGAAAATTCAAAATATTTCGGTTGTCCATTCAAATCATATAGCCACCGTCTGATTTTTCGGTGTCTAGCAGGTCAGTCATCTATGTTATCCGGGTAGGCAATGTGCGGCCGGGACAGCGTCCATTGCAGTCACCGACAACGCAAAATTAAGTTATGAAATACGTGAAAAAAAATTGAAAACATTTCGTAAGCAATCCGACTACCGAGTCACCTTCCTCGACGTAATTACGCGAAAATATGTTTTGGGGTCTAGCAGGATCTAGGGTCTAGCGTCGGATAGCGGACAACGTGTGACTTCTGACGCAAAATTAAGTAAAGAAATTGGTATATGTTTTGGTGTCTAGCAGGTCAGTCACCTTCCTCGACGTTGGACGTAGCAACCCTGGTAGGCAATCTGACTTCGTCGGATAGTGCGCCGTCCGGGTCAAGGCATGAAAACGCCAAATGACGTAAATCAAATGTATATAAATAATAACATTTCGGGCGCACGTGCTAGTCATAATATAGTCGCCGTGATTTGTTGATTGTCTAGCAAGTCGGGCGGCCACGTTTAATAGTTTTTGTCGTTTATAGTAATTAGTAGGTAGTAGAGCGATTTAGAAGCAAAACTCGATAAGCTGATGACGTTTCCGTTAATCATATTTATATGACGAAAAAAAAACGCGAAAAAAACATTGAAACTTTTCGTCGCATATTTTCATTTCAGTATATAGTAATAACGACACTGTCCGCTCTCCGATCTCCTCCGCGGCACTCGACTCGAGCGAAGTACTGACTTATACATTTGGCGGGGAACGCGAATAAGCCTTCGACGGTGAAACTCGAAAAAATCGTAAAATGTTCGTTATAATATGATAAGGCTGAAGTGAAATCGAAAAGTAATAATAAAGAAAAAAGTGAAAAAAAAATTCCGGCGGCCTTGCTACCTATCTACCTACCTACTGAGTTCAGAACGCTATATTCGAGAAAAAAAAAGGAACCTTCGACGCATGCATTTCGATGCCTGTATATAGTAACACCTACTCGACGGTGGTCGAGTAAATGTAGAGGGGAACGCGAATAAGTCATGAACTGGGATTGCAGAAGTGTCGAAAAGGGCTAAAACTGGAATTTTAGAAAAAAACGGCAAAAAACGACGCGACGCATATATTTAGCGTTACCTACTCAAGTTTCTGCGACGCCACTCCTCCCCGGGACTCGTATCTGAAAAAGTAGGGCCGCGCGCCGGCTGTAAATTTAGCGGGGAATGCGAATAAAATCCAAACGGGGAGGGCGATACGACCGAAACGGGCTAAAAATCGAATTTTTGAAAAAAACTGCAAAAAAAAAAAAATCGAACTCTTCGACGCATATATTCAAGCCCGTGAATAGTAATAAATAGTATCAAGGACTGCTTTGACGGGGAACGCGAATAAGTCTTCGAAGTCCGTAGAGGCGGTAAAATTCGAATTTTAAAAAAAAACCGAATATTTTCGTTAAATACGATAAGACGGAAGTGATAGCGAAAAGACGAAAAAAAAAAAGTGAAAAAAAAATTCAGATTTAACACGGCCGCCGCAAATTATCGAACATCCCGGCGGCCGGGTTCGAAACCACGACCCTCGAGTCACTTGTCCTAACGCCTAACCTACCTGGCCACCTACCGAGATGAAATTCACAGTCAATTGTATGACTCTTAAGCCACGTCACCGTGCACGCGAAAGGCGAACGCCGTTTGGACGGCCGTCAAAAGGCGTTTGAGCGGGCGATCCGACCGTTTCGGCGAGAGGACCTCCGAATCCGCCGCCCTCTGACGTATAAAACGCGAGATTTGCGAAAAAAATCGAACCTCGAGACGCATGTATTTATGCCTATATATAGCGATACGTAATCGGTACCTACTCTCGTTTCCGCGACGCCGCTTCTCCCCGGGGCTCGCTTTTGAAAAAGTAGGGCCGCGCGCCGGCTATAAATTTAGGGGGGAACGCGAATACGTCTCCGACGGGGAGGTCGGACGTCTCGTAGAGGTGCTAAACGCGACTCTAATCGAAAAAGTCGGAAAAACCGTCGAAATCGCGATGACGCCGCGCTCTCTGCGATCGACTGGTCCGCCGGGGGACTGGATTATAAAAAAGTAGGGCCGCGCGCCGACTGTAAATTTAGCGGGGAACGCGAATAAGATCTAAACGGGGAGGTCGATACGCCCTAAAACGCCTTAAACTCGAATTTTCGAAAAAAACGGCAAAAAACGCGCGCGATGGCGACGCTCGTATCGCACGCGACTTCCGCAGCCGCGGGCCCGCCGGGCGAAAAGTAGGGCCGCGCGCCGACTATAAATTTACCGAGGAACGCGAATAAGGTCCGAACGGGACCTTCCGGGGCCCCCGAGGGGGGTAAGACTCGAACATTTTGAAAAAAAATCGTGAAAGACGGTTGAAACCGCGAAAAGCGATAAGGAGGAGTGATAACGCCGCCGCGATTTCCCGCCATTCGTTCCTTTACTGTCCCTATCGGCGTGGCGGTGTGGATTTTACTGTCCCTATCGGGGGACCCGAACTCCTCCCCCGGGGGGGATAGGGGGTCCGGGTTTGCGGTGGCTGGTCGGCGCCCTCGAGAGCCGCTAGGGTTGCGTCAAGGGGGCAAAATTTTTTCCCGGAACTCTAGGAGCAACCGTTGGGGAGTTACGGCCGAAAAACCGTGGGGACCGTAGGGGGTCTTCTGGCTGGACTTAAAAAAGCGATAAGGAGGAGTGATAACGCCGCCGCGATTTCCCGCCATCCGTTCCATTGTTCACTATAGCAGTTCGGATTTAACACATAGGCGGCGCCACTCGTGTTTCTGTTTTATAGATTTAGACTAGCTCTCCGAGCGTCGCTGGGGGACACCCCCAGACCCCCGTGAGCGGACCCCGAGTGTTGTCGATTTCGGAAGCAGCGGTGGTCTCGTGGTGTGGTCGATACGGTATATCGACGAACAGGTGGTATGCCGATAAGGATGTGTGATAAGGCTAGGACCACTGCGGTTCGACGTGGTAGCCCGTGGTAGCCAGGGCAGAGTCTTTGACAGAGTCTTTTCGACGACGCCGCCGGAAATTCGAAATTTGGTAAAAAAATAATATAGTAATTTTTGTGGGTGTCTAGCTGGTGTCAGTCACCTCGAATAACGTTCGCCGTAGTAATACTGGTGGGCTATCCGACTTCGTGCGACGGCCGAGTTTTATAGCCGCCTTTTTGTGGGGGTGTCTAGCAGGTCAGTCG